GGCAGGGGCAGGACTCAGAGAGCTGCTGGGCCAGCCTTCCCGCCTTTTGTTAATGAAAAGGGGCCTGGGGTAGTAGAGCTTCACTAGATGCTGGAACTAGAGGCTGCTCAAGGAAGTGCTGGTGACTCATAAAATCTGGGCTCTCCGGGGGGCTGCAGAGGGGGGGGCCAGTCCCAGGGCTGTTCTGGCCAGGTCGCTCAGTCCTGAGAGATCCGAGACTCTGGGGGAAGTGACCACGATGGGCAAAGAGGTGAGGTGAGCTGAGGTGGGCATTAGGTCATCTCTGAAAGAGGAAAGATGGATGTCCAAAGGAAGAGCTGGCAGGAGAGGGGGGGGGCAGCCCAGGAGGAAGTTAAGTGGCTGGTGAATATCCTTCACTGGTTGTCAAAGAAATCAGAATGAAGCTTAGGTGTAGGGATGTTGGAGCCATTAGAGCCTGGCTCGGACCTGGCTTTGCCCCGTCTTAGCTTTGGGCAAGTCTACCCACCCTCTGCAGCAGGAGGCGGCGAACTACAACCCTTTGGAACAGCCCTGCCCACTCATTACTATTGCCTATGGCCGCTTTCCATCAAAACAGCAGACCTGAGTAGGTATGTAAGCTGCTCTTCATCCAGCACCCCTCCTGAGTTTGCAAAATAAATGAAGTGATACTTGCAAGGTGCTTGGCAAGTGCCTGGCACAGCGCCAAGGACTCTCTAAGTGCTGGCTACCGGGGCAGCCACATACAGCAAGGCAGGCTCCGCACGGCACCACCCAGGCCTTCACTCCTGTAGATTAAACTGTGCGCGGGGCCCCTGGAATTGCAGTTCAGCCATCCCGTTAGCTGTTAGCAGTTACCGCTAACACATCCCGTTCCTAGTCGTGGATCGAGTGTTCTCATCTTCCTTAGAAACTGCCCTGGTTACACCAGGGATCTCAACTCTGGCTGCACGCTGGTACCACCAGAGGAAGTTTGAAAAATACCGATGCCTGAGTCCACCCCAGGGATTCTGGTTTAATTGGCCTGGGAGGCAGCCTGACCTTCAGGATTTTAAAATAGTTCCCCAGGTGATTCCAATAGTCAGCCAACTTTATAAACCATGGAGTTAAAAACGCAATCAAGCTTCTTAGCTTTGGCCTAAGTGATTTCAGCTGACTTGATGGCCTGGTTATTGTGGGCACCTCTGATTAAAGTCACAGCTCTTAGCAGCTCTGTGACCTTGGATAGAACCCTTCACCTCTGTAAAATCAAGATGCTGTGAAGACTGGATGAGCTCAAGTGCCAGGAGGGGGTAGTGACAGTCAGTAGGTGACAGCTAAATTGAATGTTTTGCATGACTACAAGATGGGCAAATCATTCACCCTTAGTATGCAGACTGTGGGACTGACCTCATATTTTGGGTGGGGATAATAATAGGTCAGAGGAGAGATCAGGAGATTGTCACTTGGTTCTCCCCTGGTTTTGCTGATGACCCAAGAGGTCCCACAGCTCCTCCCCAAAAGCTCTCCAGGATGCCAGCCCCACTCCAGACAAGGCTCAGCTGGGATCACGAGCTGCTCCCACGGGGAGCTGGCCAGGCTGCTGGGGCAGGCGTGGCTAATGTTAGGGTGGAAGCAGTACCCTCCCCTCCCCACAGGAGAGCAAGAAGAAGAGATGGAAGGAAAGTGGTGTTGATGGAGACCCAGGTCACAGTTCATCCTG